CGTTGCGAGTCCCTGTCCCGTCCGATTAAGGTGCGCGGGAGTGTGCCAGACAGTGTGCCAGCGTAGAGTGCACGTCCAGCCCGCGCCCGCGAAATTTCGGAGCGCCGCAGCAGCAGCAGTGTCTGTCTGCAGAGGGAGGAATGAGCTTTGGTCATCGCCTCTGCCTCTCAACAATTTCGCGATCCAAACCTGGAAAACTGTCCGCAGCCGCCTCTTCCACTCTCCGACCAACCTCTTGCCAATTGCCCCTTCACGATAACCCCTTTCCAAACCACAAACACCATATTCAAAATGGCTGCTATTGTCAAGGCGATCAACGCGAAGATCAGGTCCAACCCTGTGTCGGACTATGTCTGCTCTACCCGTACGTTTTTGCCCGCGCTCGAATTTTTTTTCATTCTCTCGCAGCTCCGTTGTCCGGAGTTAGCGGGGATTATCCCACACAGCAAATGGGAAAAGGGAGCTTGCTTGAAGCTATCACCAGCTATCGCATGGCATCCTCGAGTCCCGGACAATCATTGATGAAGCTCGTTTGAACGAATCCGTCGCGATTGGCGTGCCGGACCGCCCCCCTCCAGACCCCCGGCGCTTACGGACCACGATACTCCGGTGCCGGCCGCTCGCGATAGCTTCAAGATGGACTCTGGACGGCAAGCTAACCCGTCATGCACCGCAGACTTCTGGGGCCCCGTCTCTAACTTTGGTATCCCTCTGGCCGCTGTCATGGACACCCAAAAGTCACCCGACCTGTACGTCGAATCCTTCCTCGTCTCCCCGCCATCCGCTTCCTCGGACAAGATAAGATGCTGATACACCATCTCCTTTTTGTAGGATTTCCGGCCAGATGACGGGTGCTCTGTGCATCTACTCTGCCACCTTCATGCGCTACTCCCTCGCCGTCTCGCCCAAGAACTACCTCCTCTTCATGTGCCACTTCATCAACGAGGGCGCCCAGCTTACCCAGGGATACCGTTACATGCAGTACAACTACTGGGGAGGAAAGGAGGCTTCCGCAACCAAGGACGCGTTCGAGACTGTTCAGAAGAAGGCTGATGCCATCGAGGCCAAGGTCGAGACCAAGGTCAAGGAGGCTGTCGGCAAATAAGTGTGAACCCTCACTCGAGGGAGAGGGAGAAGCTTGGAAAGGGGGCGATACGAGGCGGAAGACACTTTCTGGCTGTGTGTGGAAAGGCCCTCGCCAACATAATAACGACGCAGAGGGGGATGTTCGAGTTTGATGTGAAAAGAGCGCCGAGGGCTTGTCATGAGCCCACGGCTGTGGTAAGGTCTTGACGGGAAGGAATCCCCGTCGACAGCACGGCACAGCATAGCGTGGCATAACGTGGCATTGCCCAGCCGCGGCGGACGGTAGCTGGCGGTTCTGTACCATCACCTTGCATTGATGTTTTGCTTTTCGGAAACGGACCCTGATTCCCCGGGGAAACACTCGGGGACGAGCCTCTTCATTGCGGCCCGCAAAGTCGTAGAATAGAACAGCGAACTGTTTCTGGAACCCGGCAAGTGTGGCAGCTCTGAATCGTGAAAAGTCAAAGTGATGTGCTTGGCAGCAAAGGGTTAAGGACCGCAAGCCAAGCAAGCAGCCTGGACTAAGGTACTACCACATGGACCTGAATAAGGTGGGTAGCAGTAATGGCGAGCCGTAGGCGAATGAAAATGGGCACGGAGGCTGTCGTCGTCTTGACGGTGCTTTGACTGTGGGCCAGCGGTTCTCGGGGCTCTGACCCGAACTCTCAAAGTCCTTACAACCAAAGAAAAAAATGGTCCTGTCGTCTTCTTCTTCCGCGCATCAAGGATCCAAATCAACCGCTCTTCTGGGCCTCAGTTGACGGCCCTGACGGACGGAGCGGAGCGGAGCCCTCCTATTTCGGGCGAATCGCGCATAGTTTCAAGGGCCAGGGCCGGGGCCGGAGACAGTACAGGGTGAGCTAAATTCGATGAGTCAAAAAATAGGGTGTCGTCTCATCTCCTCTGGACCAAAAAGCCGCGAGAGTCGAGGATACTGTACACGGCACCACCATGGCATGGTGACATGGTGGCCCTCTCCGAAACTGCGAGAGCACCGACATGATGACCCCCACTCCCCTCCCTCGCTGCTGGCACTTGGAGTCTTGGACAGGCCGCAGATCTCGCCAGACGGCCGGCCGAGTGCAGATCCATCTTCGCTTTTGGGACCGCGCATGTGCTGGAGTCCGGCGTGATTAATCGTGGGGTGCAGGGCGGGTACGCAGACGGCGTATGCCTCAAATAACCTGTGATATCCGGACGTGGAAGAGTCACACAGAGGCCGATCACGCAAGCTGGCTGACCCTTTCCTCCTAAAGAAGGAAAGGGGGGGCCAGCCAGGTGAAATAAATGTCGCAGCATGTCATGAAGCCATCGCTAATTGCTATTACCATCGACATCCACGCGCTGATTTGGTGGCGGACTGAAGATACGCCGTGAGTAGACGTGCGCAGTTTCTTTGACCAAGAAGCTCGAATGCCCAAATGCCGGACCAGCCGAGGTCGGAGTATCCAGATCTGGGTTGAATGTCATCCTCATCTCATGGTGGGCTTATTTCCAAAATTTCATGTCAAATTTTCTCGCTCCTTCGCGCTTTGCGGCCTTGCCAACGCCGCTCTGGTGCTTGCGCGATCTGGGGGGGGCAGAAAGAGGAAACGGGAAGAAAAAAAATAGCCTTGTTGCAGATGGGGGGCCAAGAGTCTTGGATCGTAGGTTACCCAGTAGTCCGGGCTTAGCTGCGTAGGATAATCTGGCCGAGTCGCCCTTCAACTTGCAGCGCAAGTGAGATCCAGCATGGCACCTTGGCGGTGTGATGAGTCGAGAATCAGATGGCTGATGCGAAGACTTGCATCTATACTGATTTGACGTTTCCAACCCTCCGTCGTCGTTGTCGTTTCAAAGACGTTGTAAAGTCGATCCGAACGTGGTCTAGGAATCTAGGACAGCCCAGATAACTCATGTAACCAATGATGCGAGATTGGAGTTGGTAGTGGGAGAGAACTGACTAGTGGACCGGGAATAACGCTCAAGTAATTTATGGAGATGCGTGGTTTTGTCAAGATTGAGAAGAACCTGGAGGGTCTGGGGGGTGGTGCGCTTCCATACTCCCCGTGTGGCCTCGTACGTATTGCTGGCCTGTTGCACATGTGGTGATGTCCATCCCCCTAATTGAAGAACAGAAAGTGTGGGCGGAGGTCGGTCGGCGGCTAGGTGGGATAGCCAGGCCGGGCCAAGGTCGGCGTGGCCTGCCTTGTCGTCGTTCCTGGGCACGCAGCCGTGACCCGTCAAGCCGCCGCCATGTCCCTCGGGGCAAGAAACCGAGGTCGACGATATCTTCGGTCTCCTTTGCTCTCTCGTTGCCGTAGGCTGTAAGCGGTACCTAGCACACGCCTCGGGAACAATGATAAAGGGGCACGAGTACAGCATGACGCGCCGGACGGATGAACCCTGTGAAAGTCACCCCGCATTGTGCAATGGATTGGACCGCGGGGCAGAAAGGGCGAAAAAGGTCAGGGACGAGTTGACGAGCAGGTGAAAGATTATCCATCAAAGGCTGATATCGCGTCGAGTTGTCCCGAAGCAAAAAGGGAGTAGCCGGTAGTTGAGGTGATTTGGTGGCAGTGGTGCTGGTTTCAAGACGCGGACGCCCGAAGGACACGGCGCAAAGCCGTGTTATCCTCGGCTTCGGCAGTCAAGAGGCCCGGAAGACCCATGTGGTTATTCTCGTGAAGCCGTGAAGTGCTCGTGGCATCGCGAAGTTCGCCGAATGTTTTGCTTTTCTTTCGGGAGTTGACGAGTTGATGTGACATGGTAGACGGCAACTTGGGGCAAGGTAACTTACAAGGTACCTGAGGGTGGAAGGGAAGCCGAGAGCACTGAGGAAGGAAAGAGTGAGGTGCAGTGCTGTCGGCCTGCCTGCCGCTAGTTGCTCATGGTAATTGCGGTATTGCCTTGTGACAGGCGCCACCACCCGTACCTACCTTCAAAAAAAGATAAAAAAGGCAGGCGCGAAGTACAAGGTACATTTTACTACCTCGGGTGCTTTCCATACTGATGTTCATTGAATTGGCAAGTCCAGTTGTTAACTTGCATTTGTTTGCACAGGATGCTGTCGGTGCCAATCTGTCTTGCTTCCTGAGAACTCGTAACGAGCATAGGCACTTATTGCTTGTATCGGTTGACAGTGCTTGTCTGCTGTTTCCCATGTTGCCCATAGACAGACAGCAGGCACTTGTCATGCCGGCAATGTCACCAACCCCGTCCTGAAGTTGTCACCTCGAGAAACCGTTAGTCAACCGGAGTAGAGCTGTTTGTATCGGCAGGCTGTGGTTGGTCAATTCCTTCTGGTCTAGCGGTGTTTTGCGACCCCGCCAATCTTTCTTTACTTTTAGAATATTTATTTATTTTCTGTTACTGCTGGCTGCATTCTTCAGATCCAGGCCTTGTGTTTGAGGGTCCTGGTAGACGCCTCTCGTGAGGTTCTTCTGGTTTGCCATGTTCACTATGAGGCTGTTCCATATTCTAAAGATAACAGTGTTTCTTTGGGGGTCGTTTCTGTTGAAGGTAGATCTCTTGGCTATCCTCACCAATCGTCTCAGGAGCTGCGGTCAAGGCGCCGGCGGGCTGGAGACGACCTAATAAACGGAGACGGAGGCTGGAGCCGGTGGAAACAGATCTCGGTCAGGGATGGGCGGGGATTGGGGGTCTTGCTGCTATTCTCAGGGCAGGCGTCCTTCTTCTCAGACTCTCACGGCGTTTCTCTCGCGGGGGCATTGCAGAGCCAAGAGGTATCAGCATCTCAGGTTGGTCTCCCATGGACGTTTCTTACGCAGTATGGATACTGGATACGGGTACCTGTCGCACCTTGATCCTTGGCAGGTTGTCGGGCCTTTCCATCAACTTTCCTCTTCAAGATGGAGTCATCAAGTTGAAGGCATTTGGAAATGGAACTTGAGTGACATTGCTCTGCATCCGTCTCAACCTAATGCCAAGGACGGCAGCAAGGCGAGGCGGTGGACTGCAGACATCCCAAGTGCGAGGATCAGCCATGCCATGCCGCCGTTGTCGTCAGTCAGGTGGGACATGGGAGATGAACATCGAGAAGCCGAATGCCGGGGAGACATTCCATTGCATGTTATGGCATGTCATTTTCGGTCGAGTCATCGTCTTGGTGGTTGATTGGCATATCGTGTACCTAATAGCGTTCGGGGGTGACTTTCTTGGGTCTCTTCTTTCCCCCTCTGGACTCTCTGGAGGCTCCTTCTTTTTTTTTCTCTTGTCCTTCTTGCCGCGACAAAGCGGCTGTTTGAGTAGTGCAGCTTACATCGCAGAGTGGCCTAAGCTCCTGTCCAAGACAGGGCAGCTACCACAATCGAGGAGTGTCAGTGGACGAGGGGGGCAGGAAGGGAAGGGGGGAAAACTACCTGCCTAGGTATCTAGGTATGGATGTACCTTGTACCTCGGTACCTTGGTACAAGTTCCGCGGTCTCACCCCTCCCCCTCTTCTTCCCCTCCATCCATCCATCCCACCACCATCCTATGCTCCGTCTGAGCCAAATCTTCACCGTCCCAGCGGCGTCTGCAACGCGTCCCTCTTGCATCTCTGGCTGTGAATTGCATCCATGGAAGTACACCGGTACAGACGACCCTCAAGAAATACTTTACTTTGGCGCTAGCAGCTGGAGACAAGGTTCCCTCCTTCATGACACCGAGGGGTGGACAAGTCCCTCGCTCTCTGTCTCTTTTCTTGTCATGTCACTCAATCCCAGCTCCAGCCGCCAGCCTCCAGTCTCCAGTTACAGCATCGTCGTCGCGGGTTCCCTGCCGTTGAGCAAGTCACTCGGCCATCTGCAACACCAAGATTGGCTTGGTCTGAACTGTGACTGAGGGTGGACGGTGGACATGGGCGGATGGATCTGGCCTGGCCTGGTCTGGTCTATCTCTGTCTGCCATTATTCGGTCTAAGCTGGGGTGTACCTACTAATCACAGATCATGGCCCGTTACGCACTCTGGACGAAAGAATGTTTGCCAGGGGCTGTCTACCATGAGACTGTGACTACTGCTACACCTCAGTCTTACACCAACTATCTACTTACAGCCGAAGCACAACAGAGTTGTGAAGACGGGGGGAACCAGCCCTTCCATTGATACATGTATCGAGCGAGCCCTGACACAGCTACTCACAAGCTCCCAGCTTTCAGATTACAATAAATCCCCTCGTCCCTCAAGCTTCCAGTTCATCCCGTCCTCTCTCACTTCCTCTTCTCGTCCTCCGTCCTTCCACCTCTTTTGCTGGCTCTCTACCATACTTGCTGTAGTTGCTGTCAGCTGCTTTGCTTCGTTGTTTGTGCTCCTCCATAAGATACCACTCAACAACCATCCGTACCTACTCGCATCCACCACCGTCATACCCCCCCACCACCGACACCCACTTTCTGTCCCTCTCGGTCGGACGGGTGTTAATAGAGTAGAGCTGTGCTCGCCTGTCATCGAAGCTCCTCCCTACTCTCTCTCTCTCCCCGGTAGAGAAGACAAGCAGCAGCTCCCCTCCCAGAGCTACCCCTCGGCTCTTAATCTTCACCTCTCGTGTCGAATCGATACCCCTCGGCTCAACTTCCGCAGCCCACACACCACCGCAAACCACAAACCAGCAGTCACAGCAGCACAAGCAACAACAACAGTTGCGCGCTTCAAACTTCGGTCTTCGGCTCATCAGTCACCCCTGGCCTTGTACCCGCGCCGCCGCATCCTGCTGCGCCTGATCTGCACCTGAGGAGAAAAAAAAAGCCAGGCGGCAGAAGTCCAAACCCAGCGGCACGTCCGAACCGGCCCTGGACCCAGACCTAGACCGGCTTAAAGCTTGGGAGACCTGGGAGATAACCCCACCAACCCAAACCAAAGTTACCCAGACCAAACCACCCCGCCAACCGACACCCCGACGCAATTGTCTCGCAACTGAGACCTCAACAGCTTCCCCTGCTCCTCGGTCCATTCAAATACGGGCCGTCGTAGCTTCTGAATCCGTTCGGTCTTCCTCTTCTTCCTTCCTGTCCTCTCTTCACACACACACACACAACCGCCCAATATGGCTCAAACACAGGTCACCTTCAACGATGTCTTCGAGGACGGCGACGTTGAGGAGGTCCAGAAGGACCCCCAGACCATCCACCACATCCGCGCCAACTCGAGCATCATGCACCTGAAGAAGATCTTGGGTGAGTCGCAGCTTTCTCGAGAGGCCATTGGATTCTCTCCCCCTGGCTTCTCGCTCCATTGGATCTGGATCCAAGAACTATGCTGACCTATTGTCTTTTACCCCTCTACAGTGGCCAACCGTGGTGAAATTCGTAAGTGCTTCCATCCAGCCGAGCTCCTGACTCACGCAAGCTAACCACCACCACCTTCTAGCCATTCGTGTATGTTGATTCTTGTTCCAGCTCAGGTCATGCTTCAGAAACAGTGATGCTTACGTTGGAATGTGTCTAGATCTTCAGAACAGTATGTTGCCCAACTTCTTCCAACTAACACGACCGTCCTGGCACTAGAAGACCCAGCGCTGACTCTCTACAGGCCCACGAGCTTTCGCTGCACACCATCGCAGTCTTCAGGTACAGCGCACCACCCGGGCAACCCCCAAGCTCTACATACTAACTCCCTGACAGTTATGAGGACCGTCTCTCCATGCACAGACAGAGTAAGCCCCCATCTAGCCTTTGAACATACCCCAAAGCACCCTTCTAACCCGCGTTCCACAGAGGCCGATGAGGCATACGTCATTGGCAAGCGCGGCCAGTACACCCCGGTCGGTGCTTATCTCGCCGGAGACGAGATTATCAAGATTGCCGTCGAGCACGGCGCGCAAATGATCCATCCTGGTAAGAAAGCGCATCTTGTCTAGATGCTGTGGTCAAGACACTAACACACCGCCAAAAGGTTATGGTTTCCTCTCAGAAAACGCCGAGTTCGCTCGCAACGTCGAGAAGGCCGGTCTGATCGTGAGACATCCCGCTAAAATCTCCCCCTAAAATCTGATAACACTACTGACTCGATGTGCCTTCTTAGTTCGTTGGTCCCTCCGCCGATGTCATTGACTCGCTCGGTGACAAGGTCTCTGCCCGAACCCTCGCTATCGCTGCCGGTGTCCCCGTCGTTCCCGGTACCGAAGGCGCCGTCGCCACCTTTGAGGAGGTCAAGAGCTTCACCGATCAATATGGTTTCCCCATCATCATCAAGGCTGCCTACGGCGGTGGTGGTCGTGGTATGCGTGTCGTCCGCGACCAGGAGACCCTGAAGGAGAACTTTGAGAGAGCCACCTCTGAGGCCAAGTCCGCCTTCGGCAACGGCACAGTCTTCGTCGAGCGATTCTTGGACAAGCCCAAGCACATTGAGGTTCAGCTTCTCGGTGACAACCACGGCAACATTGTCCACCTGTACGAGCGTGACTGCTCCGTCCAGCGTCGTCACCAGAAGGTCGTCGAGATCGCCCCCGCCAAGGACCTTCCCTCTGACGTCCGCGATGCCATTCTCAACGACGCCGTCAAGCTGGCCAAGTCGGTCAACTACCGCAACGCCGGTACCGCCGAGTTCTTGGTCGACCAGCAGAACAGATACTACTTTATCGAGATCAACCCCCGTATCCAGGTCGAGCACACCATCACGGAAGAGATCACGGGTATCGATATCGTGGCCGCTCAGATCCAGATCGCTGCCGGTGCCACCCTGCAGCAGCTTGGTCTGACCCAGGACCGCATCTCCACCAGAGGTTTCGCCATTCAGTGCAGAATCACTACTGAAGACCCCGCCAAGGGCTTCCAGCCTGACACCGGAAAGATTGAGGTCTACCGCTCCGCTGGTGGCAACGGTGTCCGTCTCGACGGTGGTAACGGTTTCGCCGGTGCCGTCATTACCCCCTACTACGATTCCATGTTGGTCAAGTGCACCTGCCACGGTTCCACCTACGAGATTGCTAGGAGAAAGGTCCTCCGTGCCCTTGTCGAATTCCGTATTCGCGGCGTCAAGACCAACATTCCTTTCCTCGCTTCCCTCCTTACTCACCCCACCTTCATTGACGGCAACTGCTGGACCACCTTCATCGACGACACTCCTCAGTTGTTCGACCTCATTGGCAGCCAGAACCGTGCTCAGAAGCTTCTCGCCTACCTCGGTGACGTCGCCGTCAACGGTAGCAGCATCAAGGGCCAGATTGGCGAGCCCAAGTTCAAGGGCGACATCATCCTTCCCGAGCTCCTCAATGAGGATGGCTCCAAGATCGACGTCTCCGCGACCTGCACGAAGGGCTGGAGGCAGATCATCACCGAGCAGGGTCCCAAGGCCTTCGCCAAGGCTGTCCGCGAGTACAAGGGAACGCTGCTCATGGACACCACATGGCGTGATGCCCATCAGTCTCTGCTGGCCACCCGTGTCCGTACCGTCGATTTGCTCAACATTGCTAAGGAGACTAGCCACGGCCTGAGCAACCTGTACTCTCTGGAGTGCTGGGGAGGTGCCACCTTCGACGTTGCCTACCGCTTCCTCTACGAAGACCCCTGGGACCGTCTTCGCCGCATGCGAAAGGCAGTTCCCAACATTCCCTTCCAGATGCTTCTCCGCGGAGCCAACGGTGTTGCGTACTCATCGCTCCCTGATAACGCCATCGACCACTTTGTCGAGCATGCTAAGAAGAACGGTGTCGATATCTTCCGTGTCTTTGATGCTTTGAACGACATCGACCAGCTCGAGGTCGGTATCAAGGCCGTCCACAAGGCCGGTGGTGTCGTTGAAGGAACAGTTTGCATTTCCGGCGACTGCAAGTGTTCCCTTTCTTTAACTGTCATTATGAGTTATGTTTCTTTTGCTAATAAACGTTACAGTGTTGAACCCCAAGAAGAAGTACAACCTGGAGTACTACCTCGATCTCGTCGACAAGCTCGTCGCTCTCGACATCCACGTTCTTGGTCTCAAGGATATGGCTGGTGTCTTGAAGCCGTACGCTGCCACCAAGCTGGTCGGTGCCATCCGTGCCAAGTACCCCGATCTCCCCATCCACGTCCACACCCACGACTCCGCCGGTACTGGTGTTGCGTCCATGGTCGCCTGCGCCAAGGCTGGTGCTGACGCTGTCGACGCTGCCACTGACAGCTTGTCCGGCATGACCTCTCAGCCGAGTATCAACGCCATCATTGCCTCTCTCGAGGGCAGTGAGCACGACACCGGCTTGAACCCTGCCCACGTTCGTGCTTTGGACTTCTACTGGTCCCAGCTGCGTCTCCTCTACTCTCCTTTCGAGGCCCACCTCAGTGGTCCCGATCCCGAGGTGTACGAGCACGAGATTCCCGGTGGCCAGCTCACCAACATGATGTTCCAGGCTTCCCAGCTTGGTCTTGGTACCCAGTGGGCCGAGACCAAGAAGGCCTACGAGCATGCCAACGACCTTCTTGGCGACATCGTCAAGGTCACTCCTACCTCCAAGGTTGTCGGTGACCTTGCCCAATTCATGGTCTCCAACAAGCTGTCCGCTGAGGACGTCAAGGCTCGCGCCAGTGAGCTCGACTTCCCCGGCTCTGTCCTCGAATTCCTCGAGGGTCTCATGGGTCAGCCGTACGGCGGATTCCCCGAGCCTCTGCGTTCCGACGCCCTCCGCGGCCGCAGAAAGCTGGACAAGCGCCCCGGTCTGTTCCTCGAGCCTGTCGACTTCGCTAAGATCAAGCGCGATCTGCACAAGAAGTTCGGCGGTCCCGTCACGGAGTGCGACATCGCCGCGTACGTCATGTACCCCAAGGTCTTTGAGGACTACAAGAAGTTCATCCAGAAGTACGGCGATCTCTCCGTCCTGCCGACAAAGTACTTCCTGTCTCGTCCCGAGATTGGCGAGGAGTTCCACGTCGAGCTCGAGAAGGGCAAGGTTCTTATCCTCAAGCTCTTGGCCATTGGTCCTCTCAGCGAGAACACTGGCCAGCGCGAGGTGTTCTACGAGATGAACGGTGAGGTCAGACAGGTTACTGTCGACGACAACAAGGCTTCCGTCGAGAACGTCAGCCGTCCCAAGGCCGATGCCTCCGACTCTAGCCAAGTCGGCGCTCCCATGGCCGGTGTGCTCGTTGAGCTCCGTGTCAAGGAGGGCTCTGATGTCAAGAAGGGCGACCCCATTGCTGTTCTCAGCGCCATGAAGATGGTAAGTTTTGCCTCGTATTTAGCTACCATCTTAATTTGTTTACTAACATTCAATCCTAGGAAATGGTTATCTCCGCCCCGCACAACGGCAAGGTGTCGACCCTCCAGGTCAAGGAGGGCGACTCAGTCGACGGCTCCGACTTAGTGTGCAGAATTGTCAAGGCTTAAACGGGATAAGGGGACCCTGGCTGGGTTACGGCAGAGCGGCAACTTTCCTTTGAATTCTTTATTTATGATTCCAAATATTTAGCGAGAAAACCAAAGAGGCATGGAATTCGACATGAGAAAAATCTCTGGGGCGTGATGAACGGCTTATATTGGTAGTTTGAATTGAAGTACATTTTAGAACCAGTGTTGTCTCTGTGCTCAGTGTCATCTCTGTGCCTGGTGCTTTCGTCGTCTGTGGCAGTATCGCGGCCCCTCGTCTCCCTGACACTATCCCAAATGGAATACCACATAGATGCGTACCCTTCTTCTTGTGGATGAGCGTCCTAGCTAGCACCGTCCTCTATAGCATAGATAAAAGTAGCAATGTCCGGTAACTTTAAGTGTTCGACGAGAGTAAGTTAACAATCTCAATCAACAACCATTCGTCAATTCTTT